ATATGTCACACAATATTTTCAAATAACTTTTCCAAATCACATCAATATCATATATAAGTTTCAAGTCTCATTTTCCAATAGTAACATAGATAGCATCATAACTTCATAATATATAAATATGGAGGTAGCCACATCAAATCGAAGAGTCATAAATGGAACAAGAGTAGTATACCCATATCTCAATAGTCAATCCAATGTCACCAATCATTATCACAAGTCTCACATGCAAGCAGATTAAAACCTTAAGTGTGCACACCCCCTAATTGGGATTTCAAGCCCAACGAGTAGTTACTAGCTCTAGTAACCCAAGGTATGTTTCAACCATGTTACCCCCAAAAAATCAATTCGGCAACCCGGAGCTTTCCCCACTACCGGATCAGCCTACAATGGTTGATCGGAGCTTCCCACACAACCGACCTGTCTAGAGCTTCCCACACTACTGGACCCATGGTAGGCAGAGCCTGGGGCCCGCAAATATCACATCAATCTAACAGAGTCACAATCCAACCCCCACACTGTCTAATATAAGTTTCCAAAGTATCATACTAGTTCAAATATAGATATGTACACAATCATTTCTCAAACTCTTTAAACATATAGTTATAGGATGCTATAGGATTCAATATATACAAAAATAAAAATAAAAAAAATTGGCATTTCAAAATAGGATTTTGTTAAGGAACACCACACATTTTACAGAAGAATGGTAGTTCATACATTTCACAATGGATCAGATTTAGAGAATAAGATACACTAAAACACAACGGGATTTTAGAAACAGATGCAAACAGAACAACTACTGTCCCAACGGGCTTGAGTGGCGGGCTAGAGGAACCCGCCGGCCTCTCAGTCCGTGACTAAACGGTAGGGAGTGGTGGGTTTCCCAGCCCTGCCACTCTCTCCAAAAATACACTAGTGGGGCTACCCGTGGACTAGTTCTATTAGGGTTACAACAGTAGCATTTTCAGAATAAAATAACACTTCAAACCTTCACATTTACAATGTGTCACACTCTACCCCCTTATAAGAAGCTTTGTTCCCGAAACTACAAATCATTTTGAACTAAAATTTGAAATCGAAAAGAGGAGTTTAAATTGTAGTAATAATATCATGAGGAATGAAATATGAAGAAAGGATTTCAACACAATTCTGAGGGTTCAACCAAACCAAGTCCAAGCGCCCAAAATCTACCCTCTAAACAAGAGAATTAACGCTAAACTTAAGACTTATCTAAAGCTTAAATTCTTACCTTGCTCAAATAGTGTTGGATAACGCCTTCTCATCTCATCCTCTATTTCCCAGGTTTATTCTTTGGGCACGTGATTGGACCACAGAACTTTCACCAATCTCACCGTCTTCCTACGTGTTTCCCATGTTTTGGTATCCGAGATTTTCACCGGCCTTTCTTCATAGGTTAAGGTTTCGTCCAATGCCATAACCTCACAAAGTTATACGTTGCTTTGATTAGTGTTGATGCTTAATTGAATAGGATTCCAATCACAATACTCATACTCACCTCGGGTTGAATCACGTGTGACGCGTCGTGCACATACTTATTCAACTGGGACACGTGAAATACATCGTGCACTCGGTCGGTAAGGCTAGACGATAAGCTACCTTCCCAATATTCTCTAGTATCTCGTAAACCCAATGAATTTGGGGCTTAGTTTACCTTTCTTTCCAAATCTCATCACTCACCTCGTGGGTGAGATTTTCAGTAATACCTAGTATATTCGGATATCTTAGTCCAAGCATTTAAATCTTACAATTATCAAATCTCAAAAGTTATTGTATTAACCTTTTCCCCTTCTTGGAACTCGGCTGGCTGTCTTCCTTGGTCGACATACGACTTCTGTCGATCTTGGGCAGCTTTCATCCTTTCTTGAATTAACCTAACCTTTTTTGTCGGTATTGTGGTCCCAAAGTTACTAGATTTACCAAATCTTCCCAACATAAAGAGACCCTACACTTCTGTCCATACAAAGCTTCATAGGATGCCATCTGAATGCTTGCATGATAACTGTTGTTGTAAGAAAACTCAATTAAATCTAAGTGCTCATCCCAAGATCCTTGAAAGTCTAGCACGCACACCCTCAACATGTCTTCCAAGGTCAGAATTGTCATCTCGGTTTGTCCTTCAGTAGATGGATGAAAGGTGGTACTCAACTTCAACCTTGATCCCATAGTTATTTATAACGCCTTCCGAAATTGTGATAAGAACCTTGAATCCCTTTAAGAAACAATATCACGCAATACTCCGTGATACTTAACCACTTGATTTACATAGGCTCTAGCCAACTGGTTCATGATCCAAGTTTCTTTCATTGCAATAAACCTTATGAGTTTAGGTGGAAGCACCCGGACGGAAAAGAGAAATCTGAAAAGCTAGATAGTGACGGAATATTGTGTCGAGCCTGAATGCGGTGTGCATTTGGGTAAATTTAACCGGGGAGGACCCTATAGAATTCAAGAAATAAAAGGAGAAGGTGGGAGAATGGGAAAGGGTGGGAACACGGATTTGCGGAAAAGGGCTGCCGGAAGAAGTGACATGGCGGGTCGTGACGGCCCATGAAAAAGAAGGGATGGTAGAAACACGAGGCCATGAAGAAAAAAGCATAGGGGCATAAGGAACCTGGGAGGAGACATCTCGGCCAGAAGGCCCCGCTTCTAGGTAGGCTTGTGGTGGCGCAGAGGGGTATTGCTCAGCTTGGCCCTCAAGTTGCTAACGTCTCCACTTAGTCACCGGAGAACTCCTCAATTTCGTAAAGGGTTGAGCAGTAAGAGGAAACCGAGGACCTGACCTCGACCTTGTCGTCGTAGTCCCTAACGGAGACGTTTTAGCTGTTCAAATTCGTCATGTCTTCTCCTTGAAGTAGGGCAAAGACATTTTAGAGCGGGGAAGCCAACTAAGCGGGAGAAATTCTTATAAACTAAATTAAGAGACAAGAAGAATACTGAGAGAAGATACTTACTCAAATTAAATGAGGCAGTTGGGTCCTAAAAAGTGCCTAAGCGTCTTAGCGAATAATTATGCTCGGGAAGCTCTCAAGTTGCTAGGAGATATACGCGTGAATAGGTTCCCCTATCACGCGCTATTTATAGAGAGTGAGCGGTTGGAAAATTTTGAAAATTCAAAACAGATCACGAGATCGAAGATGATCAATCGACAAGTGTCTAGTGGCCCGCGCGAACGGTGATCTATGTTTCACACAGTGTGCTCGCACCGTACTTGATCTTAACCATACGAAGACATTCCAAGAATTCTTTCTGGACCTTTAAAGCCCGAACCCTTCCTTTTCGAGTCAACGTTAGGCCATGGGTTGAGGGGGCTACTTGATAGGGAATATCCCCTGGGTGTACCGTTCCTTTACCGTTTCGTATATTAGCTTGATATATGATCGTCTCACCGTGGGGAGTATTTCCTGAGCATTACTGACCTTAGAACATACCGACCCGGCCTAAGTAAACATGGTGAGCAAGGTAGGGTCCATACTGTACCTGCCCGCCGCTCAGATTCACCCCGGCCATCCTAAGTCGGGAAGCGTCACTTGACCCCCGCTACTTGAGACCTTAACGATGTTCCTTCGACCCGGATTCAATATAATGGCCGCAAGAACGAGGAGTTCAGGAATCTCAAAACACGTGGAGGAATCAGTATCAAAATTAAGTTCTCCGCTTATTTGGTTTTACTCCCTATAGAAACAATTGTCCTTTTTTTAATCAATATTGCCTTCACTGAGACTTGATCTCACAACCTCCCACTTAAGGATGTAACTTGGTGCCATTATTAGTAGGGGTGATCACGGTTCGGTTCGAATCGAACCGTGCACTGTTGAACCGGAACCGGAACCAAACCGTCTGTACGGTTCCGATTCCGATTCCTAACCGGAACCAATATGGTTCCGGTTAAGGTTCGAGATGAAAAAGAACCGGCGGTTCCGGTTCCAAACCGGAAAAAATTAAAAATTATAGTGTTTTTTTTTTTAAAAAAAATAAATCTGGTTAGAACCGATGGTTCCAACCGGAACCGCAGGTTCTAAACCGGAAACGGAACCAGAACCTTACTATAAGGTTCCAGTTCCGGTTTGTCCATTTGCGAAACCGAAACCGGAACCGCGGTCACCCCTAATTATTAGACCACAAGGTTCTTGATACAATTGTCCTTAATTAAATTCACTTAAATTAATTACAGTTAATTCTATTTTGGTTCTAGATTTATACGTGACAATATATTTTTAGTTCTTTTTTTTATTCGAATATCCAGCTTTGATCCTAGTATTATTGTGACATGACCATTTTTTGTCCTACGCCAACAAAATCATTGAAATAATGTTAAATATAAGGGCATTTTGATCTTTTTTTTTTTTTTTTTTTTTTTTACAAAATGGATTGACTCGTTATATTTTTTTTATTATTTTTTTAAAAATCCCTATTTGAAGATCGAAATACCCTTGTATTTAAGTGCATTTAAATAATTTTGTTGATAAAGGAGTACCAAAACAATTATACGATAATAATACTCGAACCAAATGTGATATTTTGAAGGAAAAAAAAAAAAAAAAAAAGAGAACAAATAAAATGTCGCCTATAAATATAGAACAAAAAACGGAATTAATAAATTTGTTATTTACTACAACACAAAAAATTAATCAGTTTCTATGATATTGTCATATTGGACAAGGGAACGACGCGGACAAGTGACAAAGAGGCAAAAACTCTCAAGATAGAACAAAACTAACTCAGAAGTTTTCTAATTGTATTCAAAATACAATCACTTCTAGAAACAAAAGTCTCTTTAAATAGAAAAGTAGAAGAATTGAAGAGTTACAAATATTAAAAGCATGCCTGGAAATGCAAAATAAATATAAAGGGATCGGAGTTGAAAATATTAATGATATTTATAGCTAATCCAAATTTTTAATAGAAGTAACCACCTAATTCCATGCCTCTTACACTTCATGTATGCAATCATTTTATTTTTTTTTTTTTTTTGTTATTACCTCAATTCATGTTCCACATCTCAATACTTAGCTAGATATCCAAAAGCAATCAGTACTTGAGAGGTGATTTCTGAATCAGCAACAAACCAAAACATGCACTTCTTTAATAGCACCCTCTGTTCTGCAAAAGTTTGTAAACACACTTCACAGTATATTCCTTCATGCATCTACATGCACTTATGCATTACCAAACAAAACATACCATATATAGTTGTAAATTACTTTGGTGTAAAAAGATTACTTACCATTGACATGCGCAAAGCTAGCTAGTTTCTTCTTCTTCTTGTCTTTGATTTTCTTCGTTTGACCTTCATTGCTAGTTTGTATGCTTCTTCCTCAGCAAACCTTCTAATGAATTCTGGCTTTCCAGTCAGGAACATGAGACTTCCCATGAATAATCCAAAAAGAATACCACAACCATACCCCATTGCCACAACTTTTATTGTGCATCCGCTCAAAAAACTCGAATCATCTTCTTTGTAAAAATCCTTTGGTGCAGGAAGTTGTGGTGTCACACTATCCCCACAGCTTTGTGACAAAGGCTTTCCTTTCAAACCATCATTTCCTTGGTATGAATTTGCTTCAAATGTATTGAATTGTGGGCCTTGAGGTATGCATCCCACAAGCTTATTATGTGAGAGATTCAACACTTCCAGAGTTGTAATTCTTGTCAATTGCTCAGGGATAACTCCACCAATTTGATTCAAAGAAAGGTCTAAGGATTCCAACATGGATAAATTTCCAAGAGACATTGGGATGTGTCCAGTGAACTTGTTACGTGATAAATTTAATTCACGTAATGCAAGAAGATCTCCAATGCTATTTGGAATATGCCCTTCAAATTTGTTGTTTGAGAGATCAATGGTAATAAACATGCTAAATACTCTTACAAGTTCACGCTCTTGCCCCTTCACACTCACAATCATTGAATCTTCATAGTACCAGGGATCTAAAATGTCTTCACCAGTATTGTTCAAACCAAGGTACATTTGTGATTTATCTTCAACAACATTTGTCATGGCTTTAAAATTCTTGAAAAGCCATGTGGGTAAATCCCCTGTGAATCCATTAGAGGAGAGGTCAAAGACACGAAGTTGTGGAAACAAATGCCCTTTAATCCTCCTATTTCGGATGGAACCACTCAGCCGATTAAATCTCAAGTTAAGAACCTTTAGATTTGGAATAACTCTTAACCACATTGGAAATGTACCACTCAAATTGTTGTGTCCAAGATCAAGAACTTCTAACCCTTTACAATTGATTAAAGATCGTGGCACTGCACCCTCTAATTGGTTATCATACAAACTAAGTCTGCTCAATGAGTTGCAAACCTTAAATTGTGTTGGGATTGGCCCATAAAATTGATTCTGGTGCAAATCTAACACAGACAGATCTTTGTTTACCAAACATTGAGGTATTGGCCCAGTAAACAAATTGTTTGCCAAATCCAAAATTACGAGAGAACGTAAATTGCAAATGGTTGAAGAGATAAGATTTGATGTTGGATTTCCACTATCAAACATAAGTGTACCAATGAAATTGTTTGTGGAAAGGCGTAGGACTACAAGTTGTGTGAGGTTTCCAATTATTTGAGATATTGGACCACAAAAGTTGTTTCTTGACAAGTCTAGAATTTTCAAATTCATCAAGTTTCCTATTTGAGGTGGAAGTGTTCCAGTGAAATTGTTATAGGAAATCTGAATATATGTGAGGCTTGTGAGGTTTCCAATAATCTCAAGTATTGGTCCATAGATATTGTTTTTTGACAATTCTAGATTTTCCAAACTTTTCAAGTTTCTTATTTGAGGTGGCAACATCCCGGTGAGATTATTATTGGAAAGCACTAGATAATAAAGGCCAGTGAGGTTTCCGATGGCTTGTGGTATTGGACCAGAGAAGCTGTTGTTTTGGAAGTCTATAATAGTCAAATAATGCAAGTTTCCAATTGGTTGAAGTATTCCATTAAAATTGTTGTTCAAAAGGACAAGAAAATTGAGGTTTGTGAGGTTTCCGACTGTATGAAGTATTGGACCATAGAAGTGGTTGTCTGATAAGTCTAGCTCATTCAAATTCCGCAAGTTTCCAATTTCAGATGGAATACTGCCATTGAAGGAATTGTCTCCAAGATCCAAAGTTGTTAGCTTGGTCCAATTGGAGATGAGATGGGGTGAAATATTACCGGGAATAAAATTACTTGATAAGTCCAGATTAGACAATTTGGTCAAAGAAGACAGTGATGAAGGAATAGTTGAATTCAAGAGATTATGGCTAATGTGCAAGACTTGAAGATTTTTGAGTTGGCCTATAGAATATAGGATTTCACCTTGGAATTGATTGTGTGACAATAGAAGATGTTTGAGGCTAGACAGATTGTTAATGTTAGGTGATAAAGGCTCGGAAAATTCATTGTAAGAAAGATCGAGATGCTCAAGCTTCTCCAAGTTGGTGAACAATGACTCAGGAATTGATCCATTCAAACCGGTTGCACTCAAATCAAGATAAGTTAGGTTGCGAAAACATAGTATGAAATCAGGGAACGATATCAATGTAATCCCGGCCAAACTGAAATGTCTCAGCATAGGAAAACTCTTAACTTTAGACAACCAGTCATCAGAAGCATCTAAAAACAGATTATTATTCCCAAAGTCTAGGAACCATACCTTTTGAAGGTTTCCAATCTGATGAGGAATAACTCCCCTCATATCGTTGCCACTAAGGTCCAGGTACTGAAGCTCTCTCAAGTTCCCAATCTGATGAGGAATAACTCCCCTCATATCGTTGCCACTAAGGTCCAGGTACTGAAGCTCTCTCAAGTTCCCAATCTGATGAGGAATAACTCCCCTCATATCGTTGCCACTAAGGTCCAGGTACTGAAGCTCTCTCAAGTTCCCAATCTGATGAGGAATAACTCCCCTCATATCGTTGCCACTAAGGTCCAGGTACTGAAGCTCTCTCAAGTTCCCAATCTGATGAGGAATAACTCCACTAATGAACATGTTTCTATTAAGGTTGAGGTGCTGAAGCTCCGTCAAGTTCCCAATCTGTGGCGGTATGTTTCCATGAAACCAATTGTAGCTCAAGTCCAAGAAGACCAAGTTGGATAAATCACCGATGGCAGGAGGGATTGATCCATTGAATAAGTTTTCACTGATGTTGAAACCAGTGAGGCTAGGAAAAGAAGTGAAATTGAGGTGGTGAAGAGTACCACAGAGATCAACATTAGGAAGATTGATCTCCGAGACAGCTCCACCACCATTGCAGACAATGCCCCTCCAATTACAAAGGTTTCCTAGGTTGGATAGTGACCATGAATTGAGTGGAAAAGAGAACCCGTCATCACACACTGACAGCCCGCTCTTCCATTTCAGAAGAGCTTCAGCTTCCGTTGTTGATGCTATCGTCTCCAGTGCAAAGAAACAAGGCATCAACACAAAGATGAGCGCTGCATAATTCCAATGAAAATTTCCCATTTTTTTTTTCCTTTTGTTGGTATGACAAGTTATGATACCAAGAAAGATAAGGAACCTTTTAAAGATGAAACCACACTGCGTGATGGATGGGGTACATTGACCATTTGACCCAAGACTTTTACCAATTTTTGCATTTTATTTTACAAAATTTATACTCCGTATTAATTAGCTTTAGTTCATCGTTGTATCGTGGATTGTTGATTGAGTATAGGGTTGTTCACAAAAATACATTGTAGAAGTACGTTTTCCATAATAAATGAAGTATATTTACATGATTTATGTTCAAACTTAATAAAAAACGATAATGATTTAAGTAATAAATAAACTAAATTATATATGATATTTTAAGAATTAAATTGAGCATAAGACCACATGTAATTTTTTAATCATTTCAATAGGTCACATACATGCGTTTATTTTAACACAAATATAAAAAGGTAGAGTGTTTTCTATGCATTAATCCACCAATTGTTATAGCATAGAACAGGGTTCATATTGCATTGTGAATCTTGGTATACAAATTATGTACCTACAATTAATAGTTTATGTACATGAAAACAAACAACTTGATAATTGATAACACATGATATGATAGTTACAAGTACATAAACTATCAACTGTAGGTACAGAATGGGTCAACTCTAAATACAGAATCTAAAGATTATTTTTCAACCAAGGTCTACAATACAAGGTAGACCTTGATCCATGGTTAATTTGCCTTAATTCACAACGACGTCTGTAAAAATTTCACTACTGAAAATTATGGAATTTTCGACCACCAGAAAAGGCTGAAAGTGATCTTAAATTAAGTTGAGAGCAAAAAGTGGTCGAAAATAACAACAAAGGTTTTTTCCGGATACCAAAAGTGGTCGGAACAAGACTATCGACTTGATTTAAAAATTACTTTCAGGTGGTCGGAAATTCCATAATTTCCAGTAGTGTTTAATGGTAAGAAATATCACAAAAGTCATTTTCAAGATGTCCACGCCATATTATCCCAACATATTAAAGGTAGAGCGTATTAAAGGTAGTGGCGTAAACACTACGAACATGTCAAGAAAACCAAATGTAAGGGCAATGATGATTGTATTTTGTCGTATAAATTGAGTTATTAAGGAGAATGAAAAAGTAACATATGACTCAAAAATCCTATTCTATTTTTCTTTTAAAGACATTGTAGAAGCTTCTGATTATAAACTAATTATTATAACATAATATACGTTAAAACTCAATAAAAAATAAATAATGATTTAAATATAAATTATATATGATATTTTAAGAATTATATGGATCGGAAGCTAAGAGTGTTTTCTATGCTATTCACAAGATTATTATTAGTTGTCACATTAATGGAATTTTTTGACCATAAAAAATACAATAAAAGTTATTTTCACAACGTTGTCATCATATAACCACATTAGTGTAAAGATAGAACAGTTAATATTACAAACATATCAATCAAACCAAAAGGTAACGGCAATGATGAAAGCTCAACAAGCTATCTAGATGAATTATAAAGTTTTTTTTAGCTTGAAAAATATGATAAAAGTCATTTTCAAGATGTTCTCGTTATATAATCACAATAGTATAAATGTAAAACCATAAAAATTACAAACATATCAAGAAAATTGAAATAACAACAATGAAAGACCAACAAGTTAGATAATTGTGAAGTTTATGACCGTTAAAAATACAGCAGGACTCATTTTTAAAGATGCATGTTTTCATTGATCAAAACATACTAAATTAGGTGAAAGTGCAATAATTCGTAAAGACTATGAATGGACCAAGTCAAAGCAAAGGCAAAACGTAAAGACTAAACCCTAAACCCTGACCCCACGTCTCCGCCTACTAAATTATGTGAAAGACTGAGAAAGTGCAATAATTCCATGCTGACACCATTTTTAAATTTTTGCGTCCAAGGCCGATTTTTAGTTTTGTGTGGCCCGTCCTTAAAAAAAATAATATCCTACTAAAACGTAATCTTTTTTAATAATAATAAAATGATTTTTTTTTTTAAAAAAAAAATGAAAGATAAGCACAAGTTGGAGATGGATTGAGTTGTAGATAATTAGGTGTGTAAATATCCTCAAGTTTAGCTAAGATCATAATATATCTCACCTCTGCCCACATCTTACTGTGAATTGAGCTTTTAGTCAATCTAAGAAAACCCAAAACAAAAGTCTAACGTGGAAAGTACATAAAGATATCATCAAGTAAAAGAAAGCTAATCCTATACACATTAAATAAAGATTTGGAAAACTTTAAGGGGTCGTTTACTAACTTGGAAAAATGGAGGATTTTCCAAAAAAATGAAGAATTGAAGAAGTGGAAAAATGAAAATTGGAAAACTTGTTTACTAAAATCATTCTTCCAAATTCTTACTCTATCTCCATTCTCCATATTTCTTAAGGATTTTGGAGAAAGAAAAAACCAACTTCTCCATTTGGAGGAATGGAAAGACATGTGTGAATAGTGCCAGCTTTGAGGTCCAGGGATCGATTCCTGCTAATTGTGTGTCCCTTTTCTCCTCTTCTCCTTGCTGAGTGCGCGTCCCTTTTGGTCATGCATTCTCATTATTATTATACATTTTTTTTTCCCCCTCATTCTTATTGTTATTACTAATTACTAATTAAATTTTTATTATCAATAAATTATTATTATCATTTTTTCTTTTCTTTTTTTCCCCTAATCCTTATTGTTATTACTAATTAAATTATTATTATGATTTTTTTTCTTTTTTTTCCCTCAACCTTATGCACACCAATTTGTATTTGTTGTTGTTATTGTTATTATTATTATTATCTTTTTTTCCATTTTCCTTTTTCCTTCTCTTTATGCACACCGATTTGCTGCTGTTGTTGTTGTTATTATTATTATTATTATTATTATTATTATTATTATTATTATTATTATTATAACTTCCATTATCTTTTCTACTATTGTTACTATGTACATGCATCCACCATATATTTTCTTATATTCTTCAACAAAATATATATATATATATATATATATATATATATATATATATATATATATATATATATATATATATATATATATTGGAATTATATGTTAGTTATTTCCTAACGTATAAATATCAAATTTATAAAAATATTTTACATTATTATTATTATTATTATTATTATTATTATTATTATTATTATTTACAATAATTTAAATATCTAAAATCTAAATAAATTTAAAATTTTAATATAAAGTACTAATATTTGGCCCTTAGTAATAAAATAAAAATTTAAGAAATTAAAAACGAGTGGAATGGAGAAATATAAAACTGGAAGAATGGAGAAGAAAAATTGGAGGAATGGAGAAATGGAAAATTGGAAGAATGGAGAAGGAAAACTGGAGAAATGGAGAAATGGAAAAACAGAGAAATAAAGTAAATGACCCCTACAAATGAAAAAACAGAGAAATGAAGTTAACTTCCACATTTCCAAATCGCATCATCAATAAAATTCATAAATATCTATTCTCTACAAAGTTATGATGAAACCAAAATTAAATTCTCTAGTAGGTATAAGTTCTCCGCTTATTTGGTTTTAGAGCAAATACCAATTTTAGTCCCACGAGTATGGATAAAGTGACAATTTTGGTCCACTACAGATGTTTAATCCCTACCAATTTTCATATACGACTATTGTTTTAGTACCAATTTTCATCCACGATTATTGTTTTAGTGTCAAAATTCATCACGCCGGTCATCCCTTTGTTTAAGACATGCCGAAATATGAAATTATTAAGGGTATTTTTGTCATTTTCAAATTAAGATCTCAATTTGAGTATGAAAAAAAAAAAAGATTTAAGCCTTAACATCTATCCCAATTCGCAGTTCTTCTCCTCAAATTGAGATAGGATGATGAGGAGAACTGCGAATTTGGATCGATCTTAGGGCATAAATTCACTTATATATTTATGCTCAAATTGAAATCTTAAGTTGAAAATGACGAAAGTGTCCTTTTAATTTATAGATTTCGACATGTTTTAAACGAACGGGTGACCGACGTGATGAATTTTAGCACTAAAATAATAGTCGTGGATGAAAATTGGTAGGAATTAAACATGTGGACCAAAATCGTCATTTTACTAATACTCGTGGGACTAAAATTTGTATTTGCTCTTTGATTTTATTACTCCCTATAGAGACAATTGTCAATTAAATTCACTTAAAATTAATTAGAGTTAATTCTATTTTTTGTTCTAGATTTATATGCGGTAATATATTTTTAGTTTTTCTTATTCAAATATCCCGCTTTGATCTTAGTATTATTCAATTTTTTTCTAAAAAATTTTATAGTATTATTTTGTTTCTAAAATTTAACTTAAATAATATTAGATTCTTTTTATTTATTAAAAATTAATGTTTTGTGTGTGTGTGTGTGTGTATATATATATGAACTGTATCACGATAAAAACTAAAAAAACCTTAAGTACACCCAGAAATGTATAGGATGAAATGAACATGGTTATATTTTCCATGATGCGTGAAACCGACGACTAATAAGTTAAAGTGGAAACACCATAAAGAGGTTAACAAAAAGATACCTACTCTGATCTGGTCATATAAACTTGAAAGACCCGTTAGAATACATGACAAATTTAATTAAAAACTCAATGCCCGGTAAATGACTTTTTGGTATAATTTTAAATTTTTTCATTGACTTAGTTATTTGATATGATCAAAGAATTAATATAGGTATGTATTTGGTAAATTGAAATTTTGATAATTATTTTTGGATTAAAAAAAATACTACCTTGAACAACCTAAATTTTTTGAGAAATAATTATACCAAACTCATCTAATAATGCCCCCATTATTTCTCTTCTCAAATTGTAGCATCTTTTCCACTCATTTTTTGAACATTTTATTCCAACTCACATATTTTCACTTAATGTGTTTGTTTATGAAAAATAGTGAAAATAATATTATTTAATCACTTTATAAATGTATAGTTCACAGGTCATGTTTATTAAAAGGGAATTCTCGCCCGAAAAAAATTCCTGAAAAATCTCCTTCCACCACCTATGAGTAC